ACATTACAATAGAATATATTTTGACATATTTATATAGACATGGAGTATATCTTATTCTAATTAGAATTGGGGTTTTTTTGTACATGATGTGGAGATTCACTGTGGTATATTCATATACATACATAGGAATGTTGTGTCAGATTCATTCCATTGTCTTTCCTATTTCTATTCCTTCTCCCTTTTCTTCATTTCCCTTTAGACAAATGAACTAATCCAATGAACTTCTATTCTAACCCCCTCCCTTGTTTTGTTTTAGCATACACATATCAGAGTGAACATTCATCCTTTGGTTTTTTGGGATTAGCTTATTTCACTTAGCATAATAGTCTCCAGATTCATCCATTTACCACCAAAAGTCATTTTTTATGACTAAATAATATTCCATTGTATATATGTACTACACTTTCTTTATTCTTTCATCTGTTGAAGGGCACCTAGGTTCGTTCCATAGCTTAGCTACTGTGAATTGAGCTGGTATAAATATTAATGTGGCTGCATCACCATAGTATGCAGATTTTAACTCCTTTCGATATATAACAAGTGGTATATAACTGGGTCAAATGGTGAGTGTATTCCTAGTTTTCTAAGGAATTTTCATACTGCTTTTCACAGCAATTGGACCAACTTATAGTCCCACCAGCAATATATGAGTATGCCCTTTCCCCTACATGCTCACCAACATTTATTGTTACTTATACTCTTTTTTAAAATATAATAAGGGAAACAGCTAAGTGAGAAAAACCTATAAATCTATATATATTTTTTTTCTCCAACCAAAATAGACTAATATAGCATCCTAGGTCTCAAAAGACGGAGCCTTGAAAAATAATTGCCTTTCAAAAATGCTAGAAATATATATGTATACATGTCCATGGACCATTCAGCTCATAATTAAAGAGAAAAAAAAGTTCTTGATGAAAAGTTAAGGAATTTTTTCCATTGCACTGGCCAAAAGCTGTCAGTGAAGATATGTGTTTGTTCTCTTTCCCAAATGCCTGTTTCTTCTTGAGGTATTTAGCATATACAAGAGTACTGGGTGCAGACTGTCAAATCCCTCCTATTTTTAAGTTGCTTGTCAAGTTTCCAGTTAGAGTTCAGAAAATTTCAGCTTCCCTTCTTGACACTACAGGTAGAGTGAGCTGGAATGTGATGTCTGCTCTACCTTCAGGGTCGGGTTGCTGTAGTGCTCTGTGACAGGAAATCCCGTAGGTAGAGCTCCTGGAGGTGGGTTTAGGACTAGGTAGGTTTCAGGTTCTCTGTTCTGAAGATTTTAAATCAGTGCACCTCCAGGGCCCAGCACCTACGGGTCCACACTGAGAGACCCTACCCCAGGAATCTCGACTGGTTCCACTCATGCCGCAGAGCAGCCAATCCTTTACCCACTTTGTTCCCCGTGGTATCTCCTTTCTTGAACTCTTGGGTTGAATCCCCAGACTCAATCACTCCTGCTACTGCCCTTTTGAATTCCTGGCCAGGCTCAGCACTCCCAGCCAGTCCTGTGATCCACCAGGACTCAAGGGGTAGGGAGCAGCTGGAAGGGTTTCCATGACATGTATTCTGCTGCATCTAATTTTCTCCTGGCCTTCTAGGCACACCCTGTGATGTGCAGCATGGGTTGTCAGGCCTGAGTTTTGGATCCAGCTCAGGTTTGCCAGGACTTGGCACCCATAGCTGCTGCCCCAGCTGTATGACAGCAATATGGCTTCATCCTCTGTTCTCCATGGGCTATTGGGAGAGGCACACCCTCTTTCCCACACAAGAGTGTTGTGCAGCACACCTTTTGGGTCATTCTAGCACTTTCTTTGATTTATGATCTTTCCATATCAAGATACACCACAGGCCTCCTAATAATGCAGGCTCCCTTTAACCCACTATCCCTCCACTTTGCCCTCAAAGGGACCAGTAGGCACCAGCAGAGGGCAGGGGATTTCTTCCTTATTATATATCCAACCTCCTGAGTCCCCAATCTCCTTTGAATATCCAATATTAATTCCCAGTAAAGTCCATCCCCCTTTCTTTTTCCACCCACTTTACTGAGAAGTTGCCTTACCTCCCGTCTTGGTTTCATGCCAACCTCCTGTCTTGGTTTCATGCCAACAGAGCAGCCTGGAAAGCCACCCCCTTTTTCTGCTTTCTTGACTCCAGTCTCATATTTTTAATAGCCTTCAAAAACTAAAATTGTTAATGCCTACATGGCATTGTTATGTAAATATGATAATTATCAATGGTTTCCACATTTGTCAACTATTTAGTTGTTTTCAATTGTGGGTATCATAAACAATCCTCTGAAGACCATCTTCATAAACACATTTTAAACTCATATTCTGCTTATTCCTTAGGAAAGATTCCTAGACATTGAAATATAGTAGTTAGCAAAGCTTACTTTCAAGTATAACATTATACTAGGAATTAAGGAATTGCTATCAACAGGCCAATTTCTAAACTAGAATCCTGGTTGACCATAACTTATAAGGAGAAATATATCTGGTAACAAAAACTGACCCCGCTCATTTCCACTAACAACATCAAATCATATTAGCATATATGAGTAAGTCACCATTGACACAGAAAGAAGAAATCAGTCCTACCAAAAAGACATTTATTTCAAGGAAAGGTAACAGCTTGCTGTGTCGTCTTCTGACCCAGCAAAGTGCCCCTCACCAAGTCTATTTGTGTACAAGATCCAGGAACATGTTCTTAACATCATTGGTTAGCATGGATTTGCCTCTCTATTGAGAATTGATAAACAATCCAAGTTCATAAAACTGGAAAGTCATAATACAGTGCTATCATGTTCTGGTGTTTTTAAACCTTTTACCTTTGGTAGCTTTGAAGACAGAAATTTCTTTTTTTACATACCTTTTTATTATATTATCTGCTTTACCTCTTTTTTTTTTTTCAACAAGTTGACAACATTTATTTCTAAGTGAAATTCCATCTTACTTACACCTACATGTATAAGACAATGAATAACATAAAACCAATTACCCTTCAGGAATGAAAAATAAAAAAGACAAGTTGTTTCTAGGAAATGCTTCTGTATTACACCTACTATCTCACATCTGTTTTACCTTGAGATTAGCTTTCATTGGTTTTCTTTATTATTATTGTTGTTGTTATTATTATTATTTTGGCAGAAATGGGTGTCCTTAAGGAAGCACTCTATTGCTGAACTATATCCTCAGCCCCAGAACCTTCTGTCTTGATTTTGATGTAAAGGAAAATATGATTGCCCCTTAAATCAAAATTCCAGATTTTAGGAGCCAATGAACAGTTGTTGCGTACTGCTTGTTATGATAGTACTTATTGGCAAGGAAACAGTATTTCCTAAAGCTTATTCCATGGGGAAAACATTTTCATGATCAAAAAATTTAGGGAAGAGTGAGAGTTTAGGAAAGTTCAAGTTGAATTTTGAATGTGTTAGTATGAACTGTGAATCTCCATTATGGGCCATATCTGGGAACATTTCGAAACATATTTACAAATTATTATTCTTTTATGTTGCCTTTGCTTTCTGGCTGCTTCATGGAGTTTCCGTAGAGCATTTCAAGGGAGAACATTCTACGGAGCATGCTCCAGGAAATATTCCTCTAGATAGCAGCTCTCCAACATTTGAGTCTCAGGACACTTTTATACTCTCAAGAATAGTTGAAAGCCCTCAAAGAGTTTTTAACTTTGTGGGTTATATCTATATATACTTATCATATTAGAAATTAAACAGAGAACTTTAAAAACACTAATAATTCATTATAATAACTATATTAGGGGTTAGGACCATATCTCCATGGTAGAGCATGTGCTTAGCATAGACATGGTCTTGGCTTCAATCCCTAATGTAAATACATACATGCATACATACATACTAAATTTGTTACATGTACATATACATAATACATTTTCCAAAACATACAAACAAAAGAACTAGTGAGAAGAACCATGTCTCATATTTTGAAATTTATTTTACTATTTAGCTTAAAATAAAACAAGTAAATTCTCCTATCTGCCTCTGTATTGTGTGGTGATGTATGATTGTGGTTGAAATATACCAAGAAAATTCAGGAGAAGTATTTTTGGCTTTTTCGAATAACTGGATATTTTCTCTCATACTGTGTGAAAACTTGACAATGGAGGGTTTCTTTAATTGTTAGCTGATGTGTACATTCTGAAACCATTATCAAGAAGATCTTTCTACTCTCTTATGTGAAAATCCATGTCTATGTGGCACTTCGAATGGATCCTCTGTGCAAAATTTTGTTAATAGTACACATTCTTTTGATCAAAAATATTGGCTCACTACATTACGCTTATCTTTCAAATGTTGACAAATTTCATTATATGACATAAAAAAGAATTACTTTTGTTAATACCATCATTGATCTCATCAGGAAAGTCTTTAAGAATTGGGAAGCTGTCAAGCTTATGGTGGTAGACACGTTTTCCACATTTTGGATTTTTCTTGAAAATCTCAACTGTATCATTGGCAGCCCATATGTCCATTGGTTTACTTAAAGTGACAGGCTCGTTTTGTACATTCATTTGAAAATATCTGTCTATATATTTCAGTAGTTCCTATGAATTTTTTTTTAAAAAGATGGTATTCTGTATGAACAGTTCTTAGTTCTGATCACCACCCAATCTCACAAGGGTCTTCCTTGAGATAGTCATGATACTTCAGTACACAGCAGCAGCTCTTTATGTTTGCTTATAATTTAGCACACAGTCCTATAAAAAAATTGTACTCAACTATCAAAATTTAATCAAGTTACTAAACTTTACTGTTTATCAAGGATATTCTTCAATGAAATTGGCTTTTATTTTTTTTTAACAATAAGTATGTGGTGGTAAAGAATAAATGATAAATAGTCTAGTTTGGTGACACTGTGTTAATTCATGCTATGGTCCTAGTATTTTTACCTGCCATTACTTTTGTGCCATTAGTAAATGCTACCACAGTGAAAAAGACAAATAACAACTTAGTATTATAGCAATATAATTTTTACCTTGCAGATTTCATGAAAGGGTCTCAGGGATTCTCAGGGCTCTATAAGCCACCTTTTGGGAACGGTTGCTCTGGACTCAGAGTCTAGTTTGACAAAAATGATAGAGACATAAAGTAAAGTTCTAATCACCACTTTATAGTTTATCCTCTGGGCATGTTAATTCACAAGTTAGGTCCATTGTCCTGCAATGTTCACCATCTTTTCCTTATAATTTAAAGTCACTGAGTCCCTTCAGATTATGTGTGCAGGATCGATGCCTCTTCCAGGCAGTCATGGCCATGGAAAATCCATTTGACCTGCTCACAGGCAAAGACACTGCTCCTCTTGATGGATACATTCCTAACTACAGCATGAAAAATGTTATGACTGATCTACAACAAGGGTATGCAAGAAGATCTTTGGAAACAGCATGGTCTGTTCACAGCTTGGGGGTTCCCCACCCTATGTGGCCACATGGCATCTCTGACAAGGAAGGTGTGGCCAACTCAATTCTACCCCCTAAGTCTTTATCCAAACAAGTAGCCAAGAGCTCCACTTAATTAACCATCCATAGAATCTACTTACTTTAAATCATATTTCTAGAGTCATGACTCTCAAAATATGATTCTTAAAACATTTATAGCAAAATCATGTGGAATACTTGCTTAAAATTCATGTCCCTAACAAGTCGGGACTGGTGCATTCCATGCTGGCACAGGAAGAGCAAACTGAACAGCTATCTACATGCAAAAACACATTGGAAGGCAAGTCTTAACAATTTAAAGAAGACTGAAATTATAATAAGTATCTGATGACAAAAATATGAAAATAGACATCAATGAGAGAAATAAAACTGGAAAATGCACAAATGTAGAAATAAAACAACAAACTCCTGAATGCAAAATCAAATATCATGAGATAAATAAAAATGGAAACACAACATACAAAAATGTATGGAATACAGCAAAAGCAGTTCTGAGAGAAAATTTTGTAGCCATAATCCTACTTTTAGAAAGAAGATCCCAAATAAGCACTGAAGGTTAACCTCAAGGAACTAGAGAAACAAGAACAAACTAAGTTCAAAGTCAGCAGAAGGATGGAAATAATGCAAATCAGAACAAAAATGAATGTAATAAAAACTAGAAAAATGAAAGAAAAGACCAATAAAATGAATAGTTGGGTTTAAACAAAAGTGACAAACCTTTAGCTAGTTTAAGGAAAAAATTCACTAACATGAGAAATGAAAAAAGAGATATTACAATTGATACTAAATAAGAGACTACATGCCAACAAATTTGATAACCTAAAAGAAATGAATAAATAGCCTCCCAATACTTATTCACAAATAAATGGAAAATTTAAACAGATCAATAATGAATAAGGAACTTGAATGAGTAAAAACAAAATAAAAAACTCCCAACAAAGAAAACCTACTAGCTTCACTGTTGAATTCTACCAAACATTTAAAAAAAATAAACACCAATCCTTTTATAAAACTTCCCCAAAAAGTTAAGGAGGGAATACTTCTAAACTGATATTACAAGGTCAGAATTACCCTGATGCCAAAGCTAGTCAAAAACACAATAAGAAAATTACAGTTCAAAAGCAGGGAGGAAGAGCAGGAAGAAAAGATTAACATTAAACAGATACATGAGGTGGGAGGGAAAGGGAGAGAAAAGGGAAATTGCATGGTAATGGAGGGAGATCCTCATTGTTATACAAAATTACATATAAGAGGTTGTGAGGGGAATGGGAAAATAAACAAGGAGAGAAATGAATTACAGTAGATGGGGTAGAGAGAGAAGATGGGAGGGGAGGGGAGGGGAGATAGTAGAGGATAGGAAAGGTAGCAGAATACAACAGTTACTAATAGGGCATTATGTAAAAATGTAGATGTGTAACCGATGTGATTCTGCAATCTGTATTTGGGGTAAAATTGGGAGTTCAAAACCCACCTGAATCAAATGTATGAAATATGATATGTCAAGAGCTTTGTAATGTTTTGAACAACCAATAAAAAATAAATAAATAAAAATTAAAAAAAAAAAGAAAATTACAGTTCAATAGTTGGAGTTGGAGAATATCATGCTAAGCGAAATAAGCCAATCCCACAAAACCAAAGGCCGAATGTTTTCTCTAATATGCGGATGTTAATTCACAATAAGGTGGTGGGGACACTAGGGAAGAATAATGTTACCTTAGATTAGGTAGAGGGAAGTGATGGGAGGGGAGGAATGGGGTTGTGGGGATAGGGAAGACAGTAGAATGAAACAGACATTATTACTATATATATATATGACTACATGACCAATATGATTCTGCAACATGGACACTCAGAAAAATGAGAAATTGTATCCCATCTATGTATGATATATCAAAGTGCATAAATGCATTCTACTATCATGTATAACTAATTAAAACAAATAAAAAATTTTAAAAATATCTGATGAGCATAGATGCAAAAATTCCATAACAAACCACTATCAAAGTGAGTTCCAAATACTAGCCTCTTTAAGGGATCACACACCTTGCACACCTTGATCAAGTGGGATTTTTTTTTCCTGGAATGAAAGAATGATTGAATTTATGCTAATTAATTAATGTGATATACCACACTAACATGATGAAGGGTAAAATCATATAATCATCTCCATAGATGCAGAAAAAAATATGACAAACTTTGATGCCTTTAATGGTTAAAAACATTCTCAATAAATTAGGTAGAGAAGGAATGTATCTGAACATAATTATGGCCAAGTATGACAAGCCCATTAATAAAACCATACACAATGGTGAAATGCCAAAAACCTTTCCTCTGAGATCAGAAACAAGACAAGGATGCCCACTCTCATCACTCCTATTCAAAATAGTCCTGGGGGTTCTAGCATGTACAATTGGGAAAGAAAAAGAAAAGAAATCCAATTAAAAGTAAAAATTTCCTTGTTTGCAGATAACACAAGCCTATTGACGTTAAACCCTAAATATACCATAAAAAGGCTCAGAAAAGTTCCAAGATACAGTATGATTATACAAGGACCAATAGCATTTCTATTCATTAACTATTTGAATAAGAAATTGAGAAAAAAATATCACTTACAATAGTATAAAAATATTTAGAAATAAATTTAATCAAAGGTGAAACATCTGTACAATGAAAATCATTAAACCTTGATGAAAGAAACTGGACAAGATATAAACCAATGGAAATAAATTTATTTTCATGAATTCAAAGAAAAATATTGCTAGAATGATCTTATGTTCAAAGTGATCTACAGAGTCAATGCAATCCCTGCCAAAATATCAAGGACATTTTTCACAGAAAAAACATCTCAAGAATTCATGTGGCACAATATATACCACAAATACCCAAAGCAATCTTCAGTCTAACGCTCTCCCAACTGAGCTATTTCAGCGGCCGCTCCCAAAGCAATCTTGAGCAAAAAGAAAAAAAGGCATAGGCATCACCCTACAGGTTGAAAATCTCTAATCAGAAAATCTAAAATCCAAAGTCTGAGGACTGACATGACATTCAAAAATTTCAAATTTTGCAGTATTTCAGATTTTCAGATTAGGAATATCTGAACAGTAAACTCTATGTAAGTATTCTAAAATCTGAAAAACTCCAGAATCTGAGATACTTCTGTTCCCAAGCATTTCATATAAGGCGTACCCAACCTTATTCTGGAGTTCAAAATATACTACAAAGCTATAGTAATCAAAAGCATGGTATAATACAACAACAGACAAGTGGACTAAGAACAGAACAGAGAGCCCAAATATAAATCCACACATATTTACAGTCAACTGAATTAGACAAAGGTATCAAGAACACACATGGGGAAAGGACAGCTTTTACAATAAATGGCAGTGGGTAAATTGGGTAATCATAAACAGAAGAATGAAACTTATCACAAACCCCCATAATAAACTCAAATTGTATTACAGACTAAATATAACAACTGAAACTATAAAATTACTAGAGGAAAACATAGGGGAAATCTACATGATGTTTGTCTGGGCAAGGATTTTTTATTATTATTTATATATGATCCCAAAAGTATAAGCAGCAAAAGCAAAAATAGAACAATGGGATTATATCAAACTAATTCTTCATAGCAAAGGAAACAATCAAAAGAATAAAGAGACAATCTACAGAATAGGAGAAAATATTTGCAAACCATACATCTAATAAGGAGTTAATATAGAAAATATATAAGGAACTCAAATAACTCAATACTATGAAAACAAATTACCTGACTAAAAATGGGCAAAGGTCCTAAGCAGATGTTTTTAAAGGAAAGCATACGAATGGCCAATAGGCTTTTAAAAAATGCTCAACATCATTAACCATTAGGGAAGTGCAAATGAAAACCCAATAAGATGATATCACCTCACACCTGTTAGAATGTCTGTCCTCAAACCACAAAAGGTTACAAGTATGGGAAAGGATGAGAAGAAAAAAATGCCTTTTATTTCTCATACACTTCTGTGGGAATGTGAATTAGCACAGTCATTATGGAAAATAGAGTAGAAATCCTCAAAAATTTGAAATAAATCTACTACATGATCCAGCAATCCCACTTCTGGGTATGTATCCAAAGAATATAAAATAAGAATCTTCTTATTGGTACATAGTTGGACTCATTGTGATATATTTGTACATGTGCATAACATAATTTGGTCAATGAAATGAGTATCTTGAAGAGATACTTGCATTCTCATGCTCATTGTAGCATATTCACAATAGCCAAGATATGAATCAATTTGAGTGTCCTTTCATGATTCATTGGCTGATGAATGGATAAAGAAAATGTGGTATATATACAATGGCATACTATTCAGCTTTTAAAAGGAAATTCTGTGATTTCTGACATGAATGGACATTATGCTAGTTAAATAAGCCAAGCCGGGAAATGCGATTACTACATGCTCTCATGTAGGTATAGGTTCTGAAAAAAATTGAACTCATACAAGTAGAGAGTAGAAGTAGCTACTAGGGAATGTGAGGGAACAGAAGGTGGATATTGGTCAGAGGGTACAAAATTTCATTCAAATAAATAAGTTCTGGAGATCTATTATACAGTATAGTTACTATCAATAATAA